TCAAAAGGAATGACTTGAGAGACGGTCCATGGGGTTTAAATATAGAGGGAAAGGGCCCATGAATAAGAATGTACCCTTTTTTCCAATCGGTTAAGGGTCTTGGGATACTTGGGGAGCTTACATTTAGCTCCCGCTTGCGTGTTTATCTTTGTTCTATGTTTGGCTTGGGTCTAAGCCCAAACTCCACACCATACTAGCTGGTGGAGTACCCATGTCCTCACGTTAGGCCACCAGTATGCTAAAATAGTACCAAACTCTATTTGGCTCCGTTTTGCGTACTAATTCTGGCATTGGGATGCTAGTTGCTCTAGGACTGTTCCAAGTCACTCCGGGCTATTGTCCCTTCGCTCCTTGGGCTATATGCTCGAGAGTTGCTCCGTGGTCCAGTTCCAACACTCCTTGGCTCCATGCTTGGGGGTTTGGCACTCCTTGGTTCCAAATGTATAGTAAGGATAGTGGGTAGGTTGGGCATGGTTAACTAATTTGAGATATAGTTTAGTGTAAGCAATCAAAGGGAATGACTCGAGAGACGGTCCATGGGGTTTAAATATAGAGGGAAAGGGCCCATAAATAAGAGTGTACTTCAATCGGTTAAGGGTCTTGGGATACTTGGGGTTAAGTGTCCTTGGGTTTGAATAGTACTGGGTTGGGTGACCTCCTGGGAAGTCCAAACTTAAGAGCTTACATTTAGCTCTCGCTTGCGTGCCTATCTTTGTTCTACATTCAGCTTGAGTCTAAGCCCAAACTCCACACCATACTAGCTAGTGGAGTACCTATGTCCTCGCGTTTAACTGGGGTTTGGCACCGTTCCTTCGTTTAGTGGCCCAAGGTTTTGAACCTTAGGTGTTTAGTGGCCCAAGGTCTTGAACCTCAGGTTCCACACCACTGTTCTATGGATACATGGCATGTGACACGTGGCATATGTCACGTGGCACAAAGAGGGTTTAGGTTCCGCTTTCTGGTTATCCTATGGTAAATCATCAAAGGATAAAAAGTCAAAACCATGTGCACTATAGCATATTACACTCTTCAAAATTAGGAAGATGAATGGTGTCTAGGGTTGGAGGCTGCTTCTCAGTGCAATTAAAAAGTGTAGCCTTCTAGTGTCTCCACTGTTGCATTGATCTTGTGGTGTTGTGTTTGCTTTAACCTTCCCAACAAACAATGACCAAGCTTTGAATGTTGTAGGGAAAGTTGACATCATTTTAGCAGGAGCTCCATCATAGGATCCAACTAATAAAGGTTGGGAAGGCTATCTCCCACCAAGCCAATCTCCATGGCCTACACAACTTGTCCCCATGTCTCTGATGGTAATGCTTGCAACTCTTAGTACCAACTTTCCCACCTCAAAAAATATTCCTCCTGTAGATCCTTATGTAGTAGTTTAATTCTTGCAGCATTTACCACCCCATGCTTTTTATGGTTGGATTTTCCCTAAATTTGTTATTAATCCAGTTGATTCAATAAAGTTTATAATTATAAGCATGTTTGTAATTTATAAACACAAGATTAATCTTATTGCATATCAACCATTAGATGATAGAATAAAAAAGAATATACTTTGAGAAAGTTTATAAATTATAAATACAAAATTAATCTAAATGAATAACAACCATTAGATGGTAGAATATTCTAGAATATCCAAGCATATTTTAAGTATATCCACTACTATCTCAATCCCCCTAAGCAAACCAAAAGAATTAACAAAAGCAAAATTGAGATTTCTAAATATATTAATATAACCATCTCTTTGAAAATGTGGTGAGCCTTGTCAACCCTGCCTGTCCTACACAAGCCTTTAGTGTGACTGATGATGCTGGGTGTGTTAAAATTACCTTACAAATTTTATTATAAAACAAATTACATCTTTAGTTTCATTAAATAGTGCAAAGAACAGAATTCTTCTTCAATTAAAAGTGTTATGAGCATAAGGTCCCCCTTGATCTTCATCATTCCCCTTCATGGAGGCAGCAGCGGCATCTCCAGCAGCTCCAGTGGTGGGCTTCAATTGCTTATTGGAGCTTCCCACCTCCTTGGCCTTCTTGGAGCAGTATACAGACCTCTGGTTCTTGGTTGATGCTGGCAAAACAAGTACACTATGAAATTTCTTGTCAGAGAGAGACTCCTTTTGGGTGTTATGGATAGCAGAGTAGGGGATGAAGGTTCTCTAGATTAATCACGTTGCAACAGAATTGAGACGCTTGTATCCTGAATGGTGGGTATATTCGAGCATTATCACGAAACTTTATATTTTAACTTGGATTTAGTTTTGCCATAGTTTTGTATATATGAAAAAGGTTAATTAGATGAACAACCTTTAGTTATACTATTCGAGGAAATGACTCCAGCGTGGTAATATGGAAGTGTTATACACTAGGGGCGCTTGCTTGAGGACTACACTTCCAAGGAATGAAGCAAAACTTATTCGTTACCTCTCCTGTTAGTAGATGCTGGCGCGGCCAACTCTCTGGACTTCCTCCAAGTCTCTCAAGAAACTGGAACCAAACAGGAGTAAGTTCTTAATTCGCTCGGCAAGCCTGGGTCTACCTTTTTGAGTTGTGCACCACGGTGCCCCCAAGGAGGACGCGAGTCCCTGGATTGGCAGCGTTTTGGAGAGCAACAACTCGAGACTCGGCGTACGTAGTACCGCCGATGATGAAAATCACCACGTCCTGTGGCTTGCCTTGCTGAGCGTGGTTACCGACGAACGGGTAATCTGCGTCCTTGAGTCGCCCCTTGGCGATGCTCTCAATCAAATGGAAGACTAAAGGTTGGTGCTGCGTATATACATTCTCGACTCCCTGCAAGCCACAACACTTTAGCGTTCCTTCAGTTGCTCAAATGATTTGCTACCTTCAATCCACGAGCCATTGTCCGAGCTCTATTGAAGAGATCCCGGTTGCTGAAAAGATCTCCTGTGCGTTTTTCTTCACCCGCTTGCTTTAAGAGGGAATATAGCAGCTGCATCCAATCGTTTGATGTTACTATCCAGAAACTGTAAAAGAGAGCGTCCTTACGTTGGAGTTGTATTTGCTACGTCCCGCATTCAGCCTGTCCACCAGTTCTTGCAGCTGCTGTGGGTTCTCTCTCTCGTACCGCAAGGCGTAGAGCATAGCCAGCCGCAGCTTTTCGTCATCGGTCACGCCTGGTAGCTCCCATTGGACATTTAGCTCCTACAAATCGTTTAAAAAAATTAGTGAAGCAGACAAAAACAAAAACGAGAGTGTAAGGTGGAGGGCACTTACATCCAATGCTGCAGCCTGGCTTGAATGACAAGCTAACTCTTGCTCAGCTTGAGAAACTGACATCAACTTCCGCTCATCCACAAGTCTGCTCATTTCAGTCATAAGAGCTACGTGCTTTGAAACATTGCCTTGCATTTTCCGAAACTCGGGATAATTTTCAACGAATCTCGCCATATCCTCTGTAGTATTCTAGAATTAGCCCAAGACAGAAAGCGCAAAAACAGAGAGAAAACGAACCTAGAGACTGTATATTTTGATTGCTTTTATGCTGGGATTGGAAAGTGTCCACCATCTTCTTCACGTTCATCCCGAGATCACCAAAGTTTTCGAACATATTGCTCCTAAAAAATGGATCTTGCTCAGAAGATAGTACCACCTCCTGCGTAGGAAATTTAAAAACATGAACCAAAGTGAGCTCCTTACTTGCTGGTCCTTGGGAACTCGTGAGTATTCTCTCAAATCCACTTTGTTATCCTGTATTCCAATCAGCTCGTGCACCATGGCCTGGAAAAAAAAAAAAATGAGCGAAAAAGAAATGATAAAAGAATATTAAGACCTGGTAAGTCCATTGATTTAGAAGAGGCGTCACAGGGTCGTCCCTTCTGTCGATTATCAAAAGTAGTGGCAGAACCTCCGTTCGTCTAAAATCAAATAATGCGGCTTCTTGTTCATACATTAGCCTCTGCAAAACAGCGTAGGCTCGATCATCTGGTCAGAGAAAAACAAATATCTATTCTTACGGCTGCGTCTTGAGCAATCCGTCTGGCAATCTCAGAGTTGCGAGAATAGCGAATAACAGGACGTTTCTTTAAAGCTAGAAACACAGACGACACGCCTTCTATTATTCTCTCGCAGAGCGGCTGAATTTTGGTAGGATCAAATAGCAGAGGTACCATGTAGAGATGATTAGAAGGTGTGTTGAGAGTAAAATGGTATGGATCGAGGGCAATAAAATCGGCATAGAACTCCTGCAAAGTTTATCGCTCCTGTGAGAATGCATTCGTAAGAACTACTAAAAGAGCGCGTGAGTAAAATCTCACCTGGACCTGCTGCACTGCCTCATGCTGGTCAAAATCCGCGAGGTTTTGGACGAAATTTGTCTTGAGGATGTTTGAGAAAACTAAAACAAGAATCATCATAAGACGCTCAAAGAGAAAGAGAGAAGAACTTACATAGATGGTATTCTCCAAAGCGTGGTTGGCCGAGGATCTCCTTCAAGTTTTGCATATTTTCTGCTGTTGGCCGTAGAAAGCATACTGCTTTCAAGTGAGTCATGGGCTCCGAAGACGTGCTTTCAGCCTTTTCCACGAGGAAAACTTCTTTCTGGAGCAATTCAGACTGGCTTGTAGCAACGCTCACAATTGCTAGCTGCAGGAAGGGAACAACGAAATGAAAGGAACACTAAAAAGAACAAAAAAAAAAACAAACCAGCAAAACAAAATCCGCAAGCCATACCGTTTGCGCGTCGAGGACAAACACCTTCATCCCCGCAATGTCGCTCAGCATCTTGCTCACATAATCCCGCACCGCCGCCACCAAAACCATCTTTACCTCGATCCGGAGGCGCCGACGAGAGATCTCGGGAGCGCGACGCCGGCGGATTCAGCTCAGCGCCTCAGATCTGCGCGGCAGCGCCACGCATTGTCTTCTCGCCAAAACCCTAAAAAATGGCTCTCCTGGGAGCATATTCTTTTTGGAAGAATTTATTTTGTAGGCAGTGACGTGGCCTCTTTCTCTTTCTTCCAGGGTCAGGAATTAGGGTTTGCGGGCATTGCGCGATGGAGGAGGACGATGGCGCCGCGCCGATCTACTTCCTCCCTCGCCTCACTCTCCCATCGCTCGCGCGGCCCGGCGAGTCGATCCTCCCCGCGGTTTCTTGGCTCGTCGCCACGCTCCTCCTGGCGGGCTTTTTCGTCTACGTTGCGATCCAGTGGCAGCGCAAGCTGGCTATCCAGTGGATGAAGGCCGCAGCTCACGCCAAGCGGCGATCCAGGGGCAGGGTCAGGGCGCCAAGCACCGCGCACATCTGGAGCCAGGAATCCAGCAGCTCGCGGCCGCGGCCATCGACGTGCTTCGTCTGCCTCGATGCCATCACTCCCTCGCAATCCCTCTCCTCGGTCTCCTCCGGCGCGGTCTACTCGCTCCACCGCTGCCTCGTCTGCGGCGTGGCATCGCATCTGGGCTGCTCCAAGAGCGCGGCCAAGGATTGCAAGAGCGTCGCCATGGCCGGGTCCTCTTCCAGTTTGCTCCACCAGTGGGTCGAGAGGTGGATGGACGTGGATGATATCCCAGAGGACAGGGCCTACTGCATGCACTGTGACGAGCCTTGCAACGCGTCGTTCTTGGGTGGAAGCGCGATCTGGCGGTGTATGTGGTGTCAGCGCCTAGTTCATGTGGATTGCCACTCCGTCCACTCGAGAAACTCGAGTGAGCTCTGTGATCTTGGGATGCACAAGAGGTTGATCGTCTCGCCGCTGTGGGTGAAAGATACCGGGAAGAGGATGGTCGGGCTTATCAGCTCCATAACTCAGGGAGCCAACGAGCTGGCCTCGTCCGTGCGTGGACAGATCAGGAAACGAAGGAAAAAGGGGAAGAGGTCGAGTGAAAATGTAAACGCTTTGGCTTCGAGCTCCTCCGAGGCTTCGAGGATCTCCACCGACGGAGTGATTTCTGATGGAGATAGTATGCGAACCAGCTCGGCAGAACTTAAGGAAGTTGACGAGTTGACGAATGGAAAGCTCAACAACGAGCTGGAGGTGGTACACGGTCCCTCGGCGAAGCAAAAGTATCAGCTGGTGGAAGTTCCGGGGGATGCGAGGCCTTTGCTCGTGTTTATCAATCGCAAGAGTGGAGCTCAGCATGGGACGGCTCTTCGACGACACTTAAACATGCTGCTCAATCCCGTCCAGGTACGCGACGTCTTCTTGAGTTTGCCTGCTGGTGTGGTGTTTGCGTTGCGCGGCCGGCTTTTAGAAGTGCAGAGCTTATTGCATTGTTAACGTAGGAACACTGACTCGGTACTGCTATAAACAGGGTGAGTCTGGGCGTCGGGTTACAGTCAGGATGCTTGAGTCTGGTTTTTCGTACGCGGCAGAACGTTCAGCTGGCACGAACAGGTTGTATGGCTCGTTCTTTACTTCTTTCAGGGTCATTATGCATGCGTTTCAGCTAGATAGTGAGTTTTTCCTTTTGCCTTACGTATGTGTTCTTGCTCGTGGTTGATGCAGGTGTTTGAGCTTAGTAAGGCTCAGGGACCGGATGCGGGATTGGAGTTTTTCAAAGGCTTCGCGCACTTTCGGATTCTGGTTTGCGGCGGGGATGGCTCGGTTGGCTGGGTTTTGGACGAGATTGAGAAACGTAACTACGAGTCTCCTCCTCCCGTAGCCATTTTGCCGATAGGAACTGGGAACGACTTAGCCAGAGTTCTTTCGTGGGGGGGAGGATATGCTGCCGTTGGAAGGCAAGGTGGACTTTACAACATGCTACACGAGGTTGATCATGGAGCGGCTTCGATGCTTGATCGATGGCTTGTTCGCATCTCTGACAATTACTCTAAGCCTGGAGAGGAGATTGTGGCTGAGAAGTACGTGAATAACTACCTTGGTACGTTCTCTTCACTGCATTTCGTTTGTATTGCTAATACGATGGTGGTTGCCATGTAGGGATCGGGTGCGACGCAAAAGTGGCTCTAGATATCCACATGCTTCGTGAAGAGAATCCAGAAAAGTTTTACAATCAGGTACTCTCTCCTGGTAGTTTATGATATCAAGTCTAAAGCTGTGTTCTTACGTACAGTTCCTCAATAAAATGCTGTATGCTAAGGAGGGTGCGAAAGACATCGTGGACAGAACTTGCTCTGATCTCCCCTGGCACCTCCGTGTCGAGGTCGACGGCTCGGAAATCATCATACCAGAGGTTTGTTTGAGCGTTTCTTTGGCAAGTCGAAGCTCCTCGTCTCTTAACGTGACAGGACACGGAAGGCGTTTTGTTCACAAACATCGGCAGCTACATGGGCGGCGTGGACTTGTGGCAGAACGAAGAGGAGCACGAAGACGAGTTTGGGCCGCAGTTCATGCACGACAAGATAATTGAAGTGGTCGGGATTTGTGGGACTTGGCATCTGGGAAAGCTGCAGGTACGAGGGAGAGATAGAGAGTTCGTGCCTTGTCTGACACACAGCTTGCTTGTTTTCTCCCTTTTGACAGGTTGGTTTGTCCCGTGCTCGGAGGCTTGGACAAGGACGTCATATCAAGATATGGATGTCCGCTAGCTATCCTGTACAGATCGATGGCGAGCCTTGGATCCAGCACTCGTGCACGTTTGAGATATCACACCACGGACAGGTACAAGGGCAGAGAATTGTTTTCGATTTTTTCTCCGCCTTTCTCTTTTCTCTTTTCTCTTTTCTCGATCTAGCCGAGGGACTGATTCCTTCCTTTCCCGTTTTGGTTTTTCTCTAAGGCTTTCATGCTCAAGCGCACGCAAGAAGATGCTAGAGACCATGCCGCTGCGATCATGACAGAGATTCTCGAGAACGCCGAGTGTGGTGGAGTTATAAATGCTTCCCAAAAGCGAGCGCTTCTCCAGGAGATGGCAGTACGCTTGTCCTCCTGAGAGTCTCTTTTGCGGCGTTTGTACATAGCTATAGCGAGGTATCGTTAGTCCATCTTTCTTCTTTTAACGATGTTTTCCTTTTAGTAGGTGTTCGTATGTGAACCGTCGGATTTTCGTCCACAGGTAGCGGCTGAGATGCGTAGTAAAAGAGAGAGAACGAGAAACCACGCACTGTGCGTGAAGCTTTGGATTCGTTTAGAAATAAAAGTTATTTTGTAACATAATTTAGGGCTCTTATTCTCTCTCCTCTCCGGCGACGGCAGGCAAGCGAGCAGCCGTGACAAGGAGCGGCGCCGCGCCATAGCTCCCTCTGTAAGTCTTCTCCGCGCGATTCTATCTCCAGGGCCGCATTCCTCGTCATCGATGGCATCCGTAGCAACAGAGTAGAGGTTTTGGTCGAGATTTCGGTGGTGATGGTTTTGGGAGATTCTCGGCGCTCTCAGCCATGTTGAAGCGGAGGCAGGGCACTCCTCCAGAGGCTTCCGCCCCGACGAAGCGGCCAAACACGCGATCCAGGTCCCCCATTCCCGTGGGGGCGAATGGGCAGCCACTGGAGGTGATCCCTGGCAAGGGCGAGACGGTGTCCAAGGTTCCTAGCGTTACCAAGCAGAAGATTGGGCAGCCCCATCCGGCCGTCGCCGCTACCGTCCAGGCCGAGCAGGCCGTCAATAATCCGGACAGGGAGCTCGATTCGTCTCGAGCTCCTGGAGCTGACGCTGTCGTTCAGATTGAGAACATCTCACACGGCCAGCTCGTCGTGCCGGATGAGGCGCCCAGTGATGATACCAGCACAGTTTCTTCTTCTACTCCGGTTGTTCTTCCCAAGGCTCCATCGCTAGCTCAGCACAAGCAGCTCAAGCAGCAAGCACACATCGTTCCAACTCACGCAGGTAAGAAGTCCTATCGTCTCGCGACGTCTTACTTAATACTTCGGATTGTTTTCTAGGATGGTTTTCGTGGACTGGCATTCACACTCTCGAGAAGCGTGGCCTGCCCGAGTTTTTCAACGGGAAGACCAAAATGAACACGCCGGAGCTCTACATGGAGTACAGGAACTTTCTCATACAGAAATACCGGGAGAATCCAGAGAAGGTTTTGGCGATCTCGGACATCCAGGACTTGGTGGTCGGGGATCTCAATTCTGTCCGACGAATCATTGAGTTCCTTGACCACTGGGGGCTCATCAACTATCACGTAACAACAAGGCCGGGACAGTCTTATCCTGCTTGGCAGGGAACGCCTCCAAAGGTGGAAGAAAACAATGCCGGGGAGCTACATGCTGTCCCGCATTCCGTGAGCCCTCTTGGAAGTCTGTACCAGTTTGAGACTCCTACAAAGTCTACGTTCCAGACTCACTTGGATCCTGTCGCTGCGCTTGCCGAAACTTTTGTTTCGGAAGCCTTAGCATCGACACCAGGTCCGGCAGTCGAGTACCATTGCAATGCTTGCTCTGCCGACTGCTCCAAGCGGCGTTATCACTGCCAAAAACAGGTGCTTTTCCTATAGCTAGCGAGTGATCATTTTTTCTTCTTCCACCACCTATACTAATTCTATCCTCATTTTGGCAGGCAGACTTTGATTTGTGTCCGGATTGCTACAATGATGGAAAGTTTGGCCCGGGCATGTCGACATCCGATTTCATCCGATTGGACGCTTTGTCGGATGCTAATTCCGATGATGGTGGCTGGACGGACCAAGAAACTCTACTGCTGCTCGAGGCGTTGGAGATGTTCGGCGACAACTGGAATGAGATTGCCGAGCATGTAGCGACCAAGTCAAAGGCTCAGTGCATACTTCACTTCATAAAAATGCCTATTGAAGACTCCTTTCTGGACGATGTCGAGGCTTCCGCAAGCATCACTGCGGCCTCAAAGCACACCGAGGAAGACGGAAAGCTGGCAGCAAGAGAGGATACGGTCTTCAAAGCCATAATGGAGGCGTCAGCATCTAAGGACTCTTTATCGGGTCCCGACGGCTTGATAGCTTTCGCTGACGCTGGCAATCCGGTAATGGCGCAGGTATGTGTCTTCATCCATTCTTTGGCAACAAGAGAAGTAATTTGTGATTTTACAGGTCGCTTTTCTCGCTGCAATGGTCGGTCCTCGAGTCGCAGCCGCTGCTGCACAATCTGCATTGGCGGCGCTGTCCGAAGACGATCCTGCCACGCAACTGGCCGCCAGAGCTACTTTTATCTTGGATGATCCTGCCACAATTCCTCTTCCACCTTCGTTGGACAGGTTGTCATCTTTATTCCGTAAATGGGATTGGTCATAAAAGGTTTTTTGGCTCAGGTCAAATGGTCCAACAAAGGATGAGAACGAGGCACCAAAGGATGAGTCGAAACACATAGAGGATGGTGGCGGTAAGACTGCATTTGGTCCTTGGCGTTTCTCATAATCGCCTGGTTTGGATTTTCTAGCAGATCAAACAGACAACGACAAAGAAGCCAAGCCAGAGAAGAAGAAGGCAGACGAGTCTGGTCATCAGAACGCTCCTTCCGCAGAGCGTATCCGTAACGCAGCCGCTACAGCTCTTGCAGCGGCAGCGGTCAAGGCAAAGCTACTGGCCGACCAAGAGGAGCGGGAGATGCAACGTCTAGTGGCCAGTGTGATCGAGAACCAGGTACGAGAGAAGAAAAATGTCGTCTTTTGTATATCCTCCTTTATAATGCTTGTTGCGTTGGCTGCCAGCTAAAAAAGCTCGAGACAAAGCTCAAGCATTTTGGTGAGCTGGAGGTCATGCTGAAAAAGGAGTACGAGCACATTGACCGCGCCAGGCAAAAGCACTTTGCCGAGCGCGCTCGGTTGCTACAGTCCCGGATCGCGCCAAACACAGCGGCCGCGGAGATGCCGTCGGGGCAGCAGCAGCAACAGCAACAACAACAACTTCATCAGCAGCAGCAGCAGCAGCAAATCCAGCAGCATCAAATGCAGCAAATCCAGCAACAACACCAGCAGCAACAGCCATTATCGTCCCTCTCACCGCTAACTTTTAACAGGCCGGCTGCGCTCATGGGCCAAGTAGTTCCAGGTCCGAGCACCCTGAGCAGCATGGCAGCAGCAGCAGGAGGAGGAGGTGGTCCTCCTTCGTCGCTTGCTGCCTCGAGCTCTCAAAGGCAGCAGTTTGGGTTTGGATCGTCGGGGCTGACAGGATTGGCACCCTCAGCGGCAGAAGCTCCGGCTAGACCTCCGTTTCCCTCGGCAAACAACACAGCGTGATCATCGTAAAGCGCGAGCCAGTCACAAAGAGAGACGGTGGACACAAGCGTGGACTATGGGAAGTTCTTGGTTCTTGAGGGGAGGAGCTAGTTCTCGAAGAGGAGAGAGATTTGTGACTCATATACTCCAAAGCTTGTCACCGGCTTAAGAACAAATGGATGTAACCATTAAAAAGGAAGATTAGTGTATAACATAATCACAATCGATTAAATTTTGGACGATTAAACAATTTTGTCCATTTCCAACGTTTGAGAATTGCTTCTCCACTGGTAAAATATCACAGGGTTCTTTTTCAAATAGTTACCAGTGACAATCTATGAGTCGTTGATACATCCTATCACTCCTTGGGCGGGAGGACGTGGCAACTTGTCACTGGCACACTTCCTCCCACGTGGCAGTGGCCCAGCCGGCTAATAATAAAGGGTAAAGATTAGCAGTTAACCCCATGTGATTAAGAGGAAAATGGGGTGTTTAATTACATCAAGTTTTTGCCCCCATCGCCAGTAGATCCCAGTTACAACGCCGGACCTAATCCCCTCTCAAGTGTGGGTGTTTTTCCCCTCTCCTCTCTCTCCCTCTCCCTCTCTCTCGCCCTACGCGCCTGTGGTAGCGCGCTCGTCCAGCGCCGGGATCGCCGTGCAATGGATCGCGGTGGCCGCTCCAATGCGAGGCAGGATCGATCCAGTTGAGCGGCATTTCGCGCGTGGATCGATCCAGTCCAGGGAATGTGCAATGGTAGGGCAAGTCCAGCAGATCAGCGGCTCCGGGACAGCGGCATCGGCGTCTCACAACATCCATGGCCATGGCGATCCACAGCAGCAGCAGGGATTAGGGTATGGTGGGGGCGGAGCGGCGGCGGCGGCGGCGAATGCTGGCAGCGGCACGGGAGATGCGGTCATGGCGCGGTGGCTACAGTCGGCGGGGCTCCAGCATCTGGCAGCGCCGCTGGCGGCGGCGGCGCTAGATCATCGCCTCCTCCCATCTCTGCTCATGCAGGTTTGTGGTCTCTTTTCTTTGTGCATTTGCATTTTCGTGGTGGAATGGATAGGCAGAAAAGTCGAGATTTTTGGAGTCCTGGGGCTTGAATGTTGCTGGGGCCGATCCATCTAGTTGTGATTGAGTGAGAGGGAGAGGGATCTCCTCGCGAGATCTCTGCGTGTTACTGGGCTGTTAGTTAAAAACCAAGCTGGTAGTTTTCCCGGTTAGTGAATGGATCCGGGCTTTGATGCGTAGACGCTACTTTTGTTTTTTTTCGTTCGTTTTTTGTTTCCTTTTGCCCGTCCCTTGTTGTTTGGTTTTCCTCGTTTTCTATGCTTTCTTTTTCTTGCAATGGAGACACAGGCACTGTGGTGGTGTTGTCAAGAAATCTCTGAAGTTTTGAGTTTCCTGTGGATCAGGACTACGCTAGGTATGGAGTTCAGTCTCTGGAGGATAAGCAGAAGCTCTTCAGGCTGATAAAAACCATTAGCAGTGGCCCAGATCATGTCTCAGAACCATCAACACCACCTCAATATGTCCGTTCTGCCAGCCAGATTGGCATGGACAGCATCTTGTCACCGGAACTTAGGGGTGACTTTGGGGCGGGGATTTTGGATATTCATGCCATGGATGACTCGGAGCTTTTATCTGAGGTAATAGAATCACATTCGTTTTTGTTTTTCCTTTTTGTTCTTTTTTTTTTCTTGTTCCTGGCGTCTCGTTTGTGAATGTGGGTGGGATTCTGCTTTACTGCCTTCAAGAACTCTCTAAACATGTGGAAGCTCACTTTGTTCTTTGTCCGCCAGGCTGGAGTTGCTGAACCATTTGAGCCATCGCCTTCATTCGTTCCCGTTATCGAAAGAGGCTTTGAGGCCGATCCTGATATTGGAGGTGGCTCTAGGCTACCAAGTAGCAGACTCAAGAGTCGAACCGATGAGAGTCCTTTAAGATCTACCTCCAATGAAAAAGACCGAGCAGTGGGAAAGGATAATGGACTAGCAAGAATAAAAGTTGTGGTAAGTGTGTGCCTGGCTTTACATTGTTCATTTTAAAACCATGTTTTCGCCTGCTAGGTTCGTAAACGACCTATCAACAAGAAGGAGCTTGGGAGAAAGGAAGAAGACATCATCACCATTGAAGATTCTGGATGTTCAGTGATGGTTCATGAACCAAAGCTGAAGGTAATTTGTTTGATACGCCGCATGAACTTATGTAGATTTTGTTGTAAACGCAGGTAGATTTAACAGCATACGTTGAAAGGCACGAGTTTGTTTTTGATGCTGTTCTGGATGATCACGTCACCAATGATGAGGTATTTGACCAAGCCCTTAATCATGCCATCATCCGCTTCTTGTTACAGGTGTACCGTGTCACAGTTGAGCCCATCGTGCCTACAATCTTCCAGCGTACCAAGGCTACGTGCTTCGCGTACGGTCAAACAGGTTCGCTGTCCTTTAGTTCCATTTTTGTCGTGCATTCACCTGGATTAGTGCTGTAGGAAGTGGAAAAACATACACTATGCAGCCATTGCCCCTCCGCGCTTCCAAAGACATGTTGGACATTATTCAGCACCCAGCAAACCGAGGTCAGCAATTGCAGCTATGGTTGAGTTTCTTTGAGATTTACGGGGGAAAGCTCTACGATTTACTGAATGATAGAAGGTACGTAGTTTATTACGACGCGTTGTCAAGTTTTTCATGACTGATTTACAGGAAGCTATGTATGAGAGAAGACGGCCGTCAGCAAGTGTGTATTGTGGGCTTGAAGGAGTTCCAGGTCTCAGACGTGCAAATCGTAAGGGACTATATAGACAGGGGTAATTCAGCTCGAAGCACTGGTTCTACTGGTGCAAATGAAGAATCTTCCAGATCACATGCTATCCTTCAGCTTGTGGTAAAGAAGGCTCAAGATCGAGTTGGTCGGATCATTGGAAAAATGTCTTTCATTGATCTCGCAGGCAGTGAACGTGGTGCTGATACCACTGATAACGACCGTCAAACAAGGCGAGTGACTGAAGTTTCTTTTGCATATATTAAGTCACTAATTTTGAAGGTTTCCCCTTGCAGGATGGAAGGAGCTGAAATCAATAAAAGCTTGCTTGCTCTGAAGGAGTGTATTCGCGCACTTGATAATGATCAAGGACACATCCCCTTCCGGGGTAGCAAGTTGACTGAAGTGCTGCGGGATTCGTTCGTGGGAGATTCGCGAACAGTGATGATATCATGCATTTCTCCAAATACTGGCTCTTGCGAGCACACGCTCAACACTCTGAGATATGCTGACAGGTATCGTTTTCAAGTACTTTTGTTGTTTCCGTAGTAGAACATGATCCGTCCTTGGCAGGGTAAAGGGGCTGTCGAAAAACAGTAATGCTAAAAGAGACCCAGTTGCTACGCGGGAAATAACATCCTCTCCTCCTCTGTCATCACCCTTGCAGTCCCTCCCTCAGCTATCGGAAGACTCCAGAAGCTTAGAAAACGGGAAGCGCTCTCTCGAACAATTCGGATGGCCAAATGAACCAGAGATGACCTCTGCATTCTCTGGAGATTCGTCAAATAATGGAGCTAGAGATGATGGACGATTGCTCTCAGCGTCCAGCGAAAGAGAGCGGCAGAGCTTCAGGGACACAAACGGCCAGTATGATTATCCTGGACCGACAGACAACGACCAGGACCGGCCTCAAATTGTTCTTCCGTCACGCAGAAGAACGGTTCGGGACGAAAAGGTGGACAGATACCCAAGTTTCAGTTCCAAGGACGAACCGAGTGACTTGCAATACGGAAATCCCAAGCGGGCAAACTACAAGGACGAGGTGGCCCCAGCTCCTCTGGCTGCGAGGGGAAAAGAGTTACGTGACACGGATATGGTGCAGATGGGCTACGATGGACAGATAAATGCCATCCTTGAGGTACGTGGTTGAAGCTTATAATCGCTGAAAATGTATATGTGGTTCCTTTGTTTCTTAAATCAGGAGGAAGAAGAAGTCATCTCCGCTCACCGCAAGGAAGTAGAGGACACTATGGAGATCGTTCGAGAGGTAAGCTGTTCACTCTTGTTAGAGCTCTTCCTCTTAAGAGACGCTTTTTTCGCATGGACGCAGGAGATGAGACTCTTGGCGGAAGTTGATCAGCCCGGGAGTAGAATAGATCGTTACGTATCCCAGCTCAATTACCTCCTGTCACGCAAGGCGGCAGGCATCGTGAACCTCCAGGCCCGGCTCGCGAGATTCCAGCGCCATCTAAAGGAGCAGGAGATCCTCAGTCGTACCGGCGCGCTTCGATGAGCGGAAAACTCTCTGCCTCTATACGGGCGGAAGTTTTCAGCTTGAAAACACGAGCACAGGCGATTGTTCCAGTCGAGAGGTGAATCTCTTGTTTTTTTTCTTCCACTTTTCTTGTCATGCTACTGTGTCGTGGCTAACCATACAAAGCGTGGTGGTGGAACCATGAATGGTTGTGTGTAGGCAGGCGGTTTATGTGCGGCTGGTCCGGTAATTTGTTTGTGATACCATCCATTTATATGAGACACGGTTTGCAATTGATAATGTTGCGAAAGAGAGCTTTCCTCGATCGAATCATTTAGTGATGTTCACAAAGATTACTAAAAGCTTTCCGGCATGATTAGCTTATCACCTTTATCACTGATAAGTTAATGAAGAGTCAATATAGTCAATGACCTGAGTTGAGATCAATTTTGGTCTACCTCCCTTCGGGAAAGTTACTAGGTCCTTCAAGCTTAAGACTTCGGATATGAAAGCAGCTAAAGAAATTGTGTCAAAGACTGAGTAAAAATCTGAAAGGAGAAGTGAATCTGAATACAAGAGATAAGTGCATTGCAGAAGTGGACAAGAACTATGCAAGTAAACAATCTGCTGTATGCCTTCGGCATCCGCTCACCGATCTCGAATATATATCTCGAGCAGCATCAAGGAGAGATAAAGATGGGCTGCCAACCCTGCTGCTGCAAAGCAAGTGTGTGCTTGCAACATCGCCCACGTTCTTTCCAAATCTAGAGAAAGTTTCTTTAGATTTACAATTTTCAGGGGCAAAAGAAAAGGGGTGAAGGGCGCTAAAGGCGGAGGGACCATCTTGTTCATTGTCAATGTTGGATGGGATCCCCAACTTTTGTACTGTATAGCTCAGTTGTGTTGTTGCTGTCAACTGTAGTAAGAAGACCAAACAATATATCAACATTTCCTGCAATCTTAGGTGACTGCAAACAAGATCTTTTTTGTGCGTGTTTCACGTGGTACTCTACAAGAACCACACCATAAAAGGGTGAGGAGCTCTTGTTCATTTGTAACAAAAATGGGGACTCCAGTATCTGCAACCACAACTTTGCCTCGCCACATGACAATCAAGGGTGAGAATGGGAGGTATCTGGCACTCAAATCGGATGGGCTCCTCACATTTGATGCCGACCAGAGAAGTTTCCTCACATGCCACGAGGTGATCTACAATTTCGACGACTCCGAAGGCACCTTCTCTGTACGTGCTCCAAACGGCAGATTTTGGAGGCGTAATCCTACTAACTGGATTCGAGCGGATGGCAACACACAGCCACCCCCTGTGACCGACCAGAGGACCCGATTCAAGCTCGTGAGGTTTGAATCAGGCAGGCTGGGATTCCTGTCTGCACTTGATGATCGATACCTCAAGCGCTACGACGCCGCGGTCCGTGGGTACAACGCCGTGCAATCTCAGCCTGACCCTTTCAGCCAAGTTGAGGTGAGCGATGGTTCCGAGCATGCAATTCACCTCCCACGTTTCATCACGTTCAAGGGAGACAATGGCCAGTTTCTGCTTGTACGCCTCCTACGAAACGACAGAAACTGGTGGCTCCAGTTCAGTGGTGCGGAAAACGATGTGTCCAAAGATGAGGCCATCAACAACGTAGTTCAGATGGTTGATGGCAGCTTAGCATTCTACAACATTCACAGGCAAGCTTATTGGCGCAACAGTGCTCTTGGTCCAAATGACAGGGGCGATTGCTGGGTATGGGCAGATGGACCTGCAGAAGGAGATGAGAGATGCCACTTCTGGCCCATAAGGCTGTGTTAGCAGCGGAGAGACGCGCACACGAGGAGGAAGAACTGTATCTATATAACTGTATATGATTGTGTACATATACATAAAGCTACTGCCACGTGGGCATAACTACTGCCACATCATCTCTACCTCTAACACTCCCACTCACGATCAGGCGGCTGATTCCAGTCTGAATCTAAGCCTGAATCGTGCCTAGCTAGTCTGAGATGATGAGCATGGAAAGCTGATGAGAAAAGCATATGAAAACTCATCAATCAACTACCCAAAACTTGGTTCTTGGTCTTGGACTTGCTTGCACACTCTTTGCTTCTTGCTATGGCTTCAATCTTGCCTCTAGCATGAGGTCTTGGCCGTGAACTGCCAGGCTCCCACTTCTCTGCGACTAGGCACTTGAATCTCCATGAGCATCCTTCCCAATTGCTGGAAATTCCTGCAAAGAATTGCTATGCAATGTTCTTGAATCTTGACCCAATTCTTGATAGGGTTGGTGAAATCTCTCAATCTCCCACTGGCTTTGTTCTCTACTTGCTGCTGCTTGTTGCTCAGCACCTCTACACAGCCTGGTGCCTTGGTGCAACGCCTCAAGCGTCCCAAACATTGCAAGAGGGATTGCAATTGGGAGGCTCATCCTCCTCCTCATCACTGGCCTCCTGGCCAGCAAGCGCCATTCTCAGGATCAAGGAGCCCAAGGCTCTGATACCATGTTAGCAGCGGAGAGACGCGCACACGAGGAGGAAGAACTGTATATATATAACTGTATATGATTGTGTACATATACATAAAGCTACTGCCACGTGGGCATAACTACTGCCACATCATCTCTACCTCTAACAGGCTGAGCACCCAAATGCTGGCCCTCAGGAGCAAATACAACGACAGGCTGTGCAAAAGGTTAACTAATTTTTGGACTAACTGCTTGTCCGCTACCGCAAATGGCACAAACGATGTAACAACACGTCTTACCATCAGTGAAGCTACACTCTCAAGATCAATTTTTAACGTCAGGTACCTTCTCGAGCTGGCTACCACCACGGATCAGAGGTTACTCATGGTTGGCCAGGGCTCGGTCGTCAATAATCGGAACGAGCCCGCAGACATGACTGTCACTGTGACTTTGTTGCAGAATGTTTCCACGCAAAGGACATTTTCAAACTCCTACACCATCACCCAGAAGATTTCCACCACGTTCACAGCCGGCATCCCCAAGATCGCTGCAAATCAGACTACCATTGAGATTGGCGCTGAGCAAACATTTAGTAAGGAATGGGGTGAAACAGAGGAGGAAGGCGTGCAATTCCAGACTGAATACCTCGTCCGTAACGTTCAACCTCACATGACGGTACGCTTCAAGTTTAATTTGGCTAGTTATACTAAGGAATCATCTTAATGTAGGCCAGAGCCACCGTGTTTGCGAGCACTGGACGGATGCGTGTCCCCTTCACTTATACGAGCAGAGAGAGGGGTGCCAATGGGATTGATCGACCCTCTGAGAACCACGTTGATGGGGTCTTTGATGGCGTGTCAGCGTATAACATCCACGCAATTTTAAGTGATGGTGAATCGGAAAGAGATTTTCCTTTGGTTCTAGCCAATGGCTTTTATCACATGGAAGAGTAGGATTAAATAAATTGCATGGTTTATCACCTTTATGAACTGAACGTCACTTTTGAGATGCCGAAAGCTTTGCCAAACAGCCAGATGATCCAAATCGGCCCAGCCCACTGGCTGCTAGGAGATCGTACCATTGCCATTCATCGGGCTATAGACTGTGATCCCAGCACACAAAAGTGGAGTTGCATACCTGCGAGCATGGAATAATTTCAAGACTATTCAACCATTTTGTTACATGATTGTTCCATCAATGTTCTCATAGTTGCACGTTAGGAGCAGTAATTCTCCCATTTGGTGGCCTATCACCATGCCAACAATCTCATGCCTGAGAGAAAAATAAGAAAAAAAAAGAGAGATGAAACTGTCAAACCAAGAAGAAGATTCTCTGGCCATGCTCTCGTCCCAGCCACCTGTCGCGTCCTTTTGCAATATTGGAGAGGGATGCACAGTCTACATGTTGCGGTGGGCAGAAGGTGAACGCCCCAACCCCCAAGGAGCCAGCGAGGGTGCCCAATCTAGTCAAGAACGGCAAGAGAAGAGTTGGAGCCTTAAAGTACAGTCACTTGATCCATAAACCGAGGCTCAAAAGGAACTTGTTGGGCCCTAGGGGCATCTCAACTTGCTAGTGGATGTGCTTCCTGCACCATTAAACATTACGTTCTTTGCAATACTGATTGTCACATCATGCTATGATTACCGTGTGATGCCAATTCCCTCCAAGAGGCCTTTAGCCATACCATCTCATGGCAGTCAGCAGTTAAGGCAATATATTTAGCCTTTGCAGAAGAAAGAGCAACCACAGCTTGCCTCTTGCTTGCCTATATGGGAAAACACAAGATTACTACATTAGTGATCCTGGCTGATATCCACATTAACTTTTCAAAGAGATGCATTAAAGTGACACATAACTAACTATATAATGATGTAACCAACACATTAAAGTTAACTAAGTAAGATTCTTACAACCCGAGCTCCACAAAGTTGCATACAAAATCTGTAGTGGTCAACTGGCACCCTTTGTTTGTGGAGGACCTATAAGTTGTGGTGATAGTTTATAGTTGGCACCTGTGTAGTAGATTAGGCTTGTGTCATTGCGAGACTTAGGTTTATTATCCCCTTCAAACAAATTTTGCAGCTTTTCAATGTCCTGTGCAAGGCTCTGAATTGAACTGGCTAAGCATGATAGTTGCATAGCAAATGTCAAGATAAAAAGTACATCAAGCAATTGATCAAGTTCCAACAAGGAACTTGTGAATCAAGCATGCCTCTTACATCTTGAGGCATTGACAACACCTGCTACCATGGGTGTGTATATAGGATAGCAATTTTCCATGCTAAACCGGCATAGGAGCTGTTCAGTGTTTTGAGAGCATCATCTTTTTCCATTCCTGCTCCACTTGGATTTCCAAAAAAAAATTTTGTTACCCTAAGGTCTTTCATGCAAAAGCATCAGGCCAAGCTCTCTTTTAAGTGCTGGATAGCATCATCATCCCCTCCAATGACATTAACGTATAAGGCGATATACTATCACCTTTTACTTTGGCATATACAATGGAGTTGATATGAGCACGATGGAATCTTTTATGTTGCAAAGCCTCATCAAATCTTTCATACCATATGCAAGATGATTGCATAAAGTCTTCTTCAATCTCCATGCTTTTTTCATTATATCACCATGGCTTTTGATGCTAAGGGGAATATCTCCTTATCAAGAGATCCATAGAGAAATGCAATTTTAATATCCATTTGGTGGATCTTTCACAAACTTTGGTTATTTGCATCACTGGCAAAAAAGTTTCATTATAATCCACCCTCTTGACTTATGTGAAACCTTTAGCAACAAGGTAAGCCTTGTAATTTGGCTGCATTATGAGTTCTTTTGAGCAACCACTTGTGATTTAGCTTTCAATCAGACTCTTCAAAATTGTTATTTGGCAAAAGGGCATTTATTTCATTCTTGATGGCATTTATCTAGGATTGGACTTGTCTCCAATCAAGCCTCATGGTGCATTGATGGGATTTGATTGTCCACAAACATGTACAATTCAGCCTTATCATCAGTAAAAAAAGGGTGTCACATCTTCAAGCACCTTTTGAAAGGGTTATCTCACACATGAACCTTCCAAGATTGAAATAAGATCTAGCAAACCTTTGCTTCAAGGGATGATAAAAGGTAGTGGCTGATCGGGCAGAGGATCTCTTCCATCAACATGATCCTCACGAGGGTCATCAATTGGCATTAGGATTGTTAACAATAGTTGTGTTGTTATCTAGCCAAATTGGAATAAGTGGGACAAGCTCAACAAACTTAGGTGACATTGCATCCAATAGTTACTCCTATGAAAAATTATTCTCATCAAAGACTATGTTGTACTAAGCATTGTCTCCTTACTGGAGGGATCCCTTAATTTTTAGGCTTTCCAACTTCACTTGTCATCATAAGCATATTCCATGAAGATGAGTATTTGACATTTTAAATTGAGCTTTTTGCGGAGCAGATCCAAGATGTGTGCATAAACTGTGTAATTGAAGACTTGGAGATGAGAGACATCATATTTTATGCCAGTCTAAGCTTCTTCGGTAGTCTTTCCTTTGAGTGTGACCATGAATAAATTTTTAATATGCATGGCTATCATAATTGCCTCTTGCCAAAATTCATTGTGAAGCTTGTTCTCAGCAAGGAGGCTACAAGGAACATTCATCACTGTTTGATTCTTACACTCCACAACACCATTCTATTGTGAGGTGTAGTGAGTGGTCTAGATACCTATTATATAGCAAATATCTCTCAAGGCATTGTTTACGTACTCTTTTCCACCATCAATGTAGAAGGCTTGAATTTTCTTTACAAGATTCATCTAGAGTGTGGCCTTGTAAAGCTTAAAGGCCTCCACTACTTTACTTATTCTTTTTGGCTAAAATTATCAATCAATGTCATAATATATCTTGCACCAAAATGACTAGGTGGTCCACAAAGGTCTGGATAGATCAATTCTAAAGGTTGAAATGATTTTTATGTAGACAAAGCAAAGTTTCTATATAGTGTTTCTCTAACATGCATAATTCTCAAAATGCAGCATTTAGATTGAGTTTAGTTAAGATTGAAAATTCAAACAGCAATATCTACATTTGGCATTGTTATTGTCATGCCAACTACAGAGCTCTTCAGAATGTCCTTGTGAAGAAAATGATAATATTTATGGTGATATAGCTGAAAGGATATACTTTATATGGTTCTTTTGATGTTTCCCATGCAACATCATTTGCCCTATCATGCAAAAGCTTTTCTTATCCACAAAAGTGACATTGTTGTCATCTTTAGATGACAACAATATTGCTATCATAAACTTTTGCAATAGAGATTAAATTTCTTTACATACACTATAGGATTTATATAGTGTTTATAAAGTTTATCTCACTACCAAGCTTTAAAGTACTAACACCCAACCATAGTTTATATTGTTAAATATGAATTTATTCATCATTATAAAGTTGGTGTAACCAGAGTCCAAGACCCAAAGCTGACCAACTACACCAGTCTTCACATTGAAGCTTTTTTATTCTTTTACTTATTCATAAGATCCTTCACCATTGCTTTCTATTCCAAAGTTTTCTATAACATTTATCACATGTAGGCATTCCACTTGCATTGATCTCGACCAATGTGTGTCGGTTTGTGATTGGCATATTATCTATTACAAGGAGTCCTACTAGCATGCTCTTCATGCTCTTGTAGGGTGGAGGTTGCTCCACCACCAATGAGGCATGTTGTTAGGAATCCCTCAATTCATACCACATTCTTGAATCTCGCTGGATTCTTGACCTGCAAACCACATTCCTGATTCTCGAGACACTTCCCTATTCTTGACTCTTGAGACTTTTCCCTATTACTGACTCTCTAATTTCCTGTACGATTTCTGAGTCTTGAGCCACATTCCTGATGATGATATGGCGCCTCCTCGATCTCAGTTATATTTAGGCCGTCCTCGATCCAAGAGTGGTGGAGTTTCATCAACTTATAGTATATATAGATTAGCCTTGTTCCATTTTTCCACAATCTGAATCAACACTAGTCTAAGGCCTCTTCTTTGTTTCCACTAGCTTTTCTCTTTGTCTTTTGCATTTTCCAGTTTTGATCTTGTTGGGGGTCTTGACAGTTTGATTCAGATTGTGTTTTTTTTCATTTTTCTTCCTTTAGCTTGTTTTGATTGTTTGACTGCCTTTGGCTTTTTTCCCCCTTTTTCTTTCTTTTTGCTGATGGAGTCTCCAAGCCATCCTGATTTCTTTGCCGAAGTCCTTGCAAAAATCCAGTCTAAGAATACCGAGCTGAAGGTGATCCTTCTTCGCATGCAGCAGGAGCTTGCTTCACTTTCAGCTCAAGGATCCAGCAAAGTTCCTGAACTGAAGGTGAGTTTCCCGGCGAAATTTTCAGGCAAGCGTTAGGAGCTTTGCGGATTCCTAAACCAGATGGAGCTGATCTTTGCACTTCAACATCAGCGGTACCCCACTTCCGAGTCTCAAATTGGCGCGATTGGGACGTTGCTCGAAGGTGCAGCTTTGTCATGGTTTTCTCCTCTTCTAGAGAAGAGCATGAAAGGGGTTGTGGTTCCGAAGCTGATGGATCTTCAATTGTTCAAAGAGAAGCTCGAAGCATGTTTTGGCGAGACGGATCGGGTTCGGGCTGTTACCACAAAGATGAGACGTCTCTCTTAGGGGTCTTGTCCTACCTCGATCTACGCTGCAGAGTTCCAACTCCTTGCCTTGGACACTCAGTGGGATGAGCGGGCCCTGATTGACCAATTTCGTTTCGGCCTCAACAACGGTGTCAAGGATTTGTTGCTCACCATGGAGGATCCCAAGGACCTATCAGATGCCATCAACAAAGCTGTTCGATGTGACAATTGTCTCTTTGAGTGTCGTCAGGAAAGTCGCCGTGCCGCTGTTTTTCCGTCCCAGACTCAGGAATCCCAGCTTGAGTCTTCGGGGCATACTCTTGAACCTATTGCTCTGGTCTCGATGGATATTTCTGGTACTCCCCGACTCATCAAAGGGAAGTTGAGTCTTGCTGA